CACATGGGTGACCTCTGTTCTGGCCCAGAGAGAGGACCCTCCCCCACACACACCCTGGGCAGGGATTACCAAGGGCTGAGAGTGACAGGAGCCAGAGCCGCCAGCCCCAGGGACCAGGGCTAATCATCCTCCCCTTCCTGCCACCGGCTCCCAGGCCAGGCTCACTTCCCTAGCAACCGGGCTGAGTTCAGAGTGGAAATGATGACTCCCGGAGTGGGAGGGGCTTCGGGCTCGCTCCCGGGCGGAGGCAGCGGCTCCTGCTCACCCACCAGGGCGCCCTGGCTGCGTCTTTGTCCCCTTGCCCGCCTCTCTATTCATGGGCTGCCAGCTCCTCTGCTTTGCTTCAGTCCAGAGGCCGGGTGTGGCGTGGTGGGGTTCTGGGGTGAAAGAACTGGAGGGTCGCAGGGGGCAGGTGAGAGAGGTCACTGCCTGCATCGTCACCCACTGGGACATGCCCCGTGCAGTTAGAAAGAAGCCTGTATGCCACGTACTGACTAACAGAAAGCCCAGCGCTTCATTGCCAGGAGCACCAGGCGCTGGCATCTCAGTGCGCCCACACCTCCAGCGGGCTGTGCCTCCTTCCAGGCTCTGCGTGAAGCCCAGCGAGGCTGTCAGTGCTGAGCGGGGGCCGCCTGCCAGATGCCCTCGGCACTGTTTGATCTTAGCTGCTTGCGGCCTTTTGGGGGCAGGGGTTATCATTATCTCCACTGACCAGATGAACAAGACAAGTGGAGGTTTCTGGAGGCAGAATGACTTTCCCCAAAGGCCACACCTGTGACCACAGTGCTGCTCTTCCAGGCCTACCCTCTGTTGTTGACAAGTTGTGATGTAACTGTCCCGTGTCTGTTGTGAGGGCTTTGGCCTGAGCTGGGGCAAGGGATGTAGGGCTGTGGCTACAGGGGGTGATCCGGGGTTCCACCTCTGTCCGTCTCTAGCTTCGGGGAGAAATGGGTTGAGGGGTTTATGGGGGGAGGGGGCACTTCCCTGAGTTTCCTCTCCTCTCCGCCTACCACATGTAACTACCATTTGTGGGGCATTTTGGCCAGGCACTGTTAAGCACTTCTCAGCCACAGTCCCTTGTGAGGGAGATCTTCTTGTCCCCAGTTAACAGGTGATTAAGACTGAGGCTTGGAGAACCCTCAGAACCTGCCATGGTTGTTGGAGGGGCGGAGCAGGGGGCAGCTGCAGTGTCTGGAGTAGGAGCTCTGCTCCCAAGGGGAAGGATAGTCACAGCACTGGCCCTCTGCGTGACAAAGCACCTTTATGTGTCTTACATCATTGGATCCTTGTAATGCACAGATACCCTGGGTGCTGTGATCACGCACTTTGCAGACATGACCCTAGGTAGGCAGGCAGGAAGAAAGGATGGACAGAGGGCCGAGAGAGAGGAGGAGCTCCTGGGGGCTCACATCTAAAAGTGGGCAGAGCTGGGTGCTGTGCCATCCTGTGGACAGCAGGATCTTGTGTGTGGTGTGACTGTCGATGGCAGCACAGTCTAGGCAGCACCCCCAGAACTGGCGGTGGCCTGGCCAGGACCCCAGGACTCAAGCAGCTGCCTCCCATCACCTGCATTGTCTCTAGATTCCTAGGACTGGAGAGGTTTGCTGGGCAGTTGCTGCACAACCCCCTGCCATACCCATCGCCAGTGAAGTGGCTAGAGGGGCCCAGAACACATATCGCCTGGTGTCTGAGCTGGGATTATCCTGCAGACCCCACCTGTCACCACATGTGTGGCTGGGAAGGCCCCTGTGGCCTGCGCTCTCTGTTCCCTCCAACAGGGAGGGTTGGCCCCAGGCCGAGCAGCTGTCTAGTCCCTGCCCCTTTGCCTCCTTGGCCCCCATTCCTGGGTGTTTTCCTTCTGTGAAGCACAGGAGGCTCCTTCCATCTGGAGGCTTTAGGAGCACCATTTCCACAGTCTGGGAACAGGCCTCACAGGGAGGGTGTCGGGTCTGGACCTGATCACTGTCAGCCCTATGGCCTGACCAGCCTGAGCCCCAGGATACCAGGGGCGGGTGGCCCTGGGTCCCCTCATGGGCATGCTGGAGCTCAGGGGTCTGGTGAGTGTCAGAAGACCTGGGGTGCAGGGGCTTTGCCTGGAGGACTGAGGAGAAGCCCAAGCCCGTGTGGCTGCCTTGCTGGCCCTCCTGGTGGATGCAGAACATCCACTGAAGATTCTCGCCCTGCCTGCTGCTGCCTCCGCCCCGCCCCGCCCCGGGGTCTCCATCCTGCGTAAGGGGCAGAGGCCTTCCTCTGATTCTCCTCTTCCCTGTGCACAGGGCGAAGCCGACGCACACCACAGTCAACTGCTGGTTCTGCGACCAGGACACGGTGGTGCCCTACGGGAACCGCAACTGCTGGGACTGCCCCCACTGCGAGCAGTACAATGGCTTCCAGGAGGTGCGCCGGGACCCCAGGCCTTTGTCCAGCCCCTCCCCTCCCCACAGCCCTGGCCCTACACCTGTCCTCTGAGGATGAGCAGACAGGCCCAGGGAACCCAGGTGACTTGTCCAGGGTCACACCACTGAAGTTAGCAGATTCGGGTTCAGCCCCAGATCCTCTGGCTCACGCCTACTCTGCTCTGCACCAGACCAGGGGTCAGTGGGCTCTCGGTAAAGGACCGGGGAGGACTTTAGGCTTTGCAGACCACACTGTCTCTGTCCCCACGGCTCAACTCTGCCCAGCCACCGCACACAGTATACAAACGAGTACAGGCAGCTGTGGTCTAGGAAGACTCAGTTCACAGACGCAGGCGGGCCGTTTGCGGGCCCCTGCACTACACCAGTTTCCAGGCTGCGCTCCCCTGGGGGCTGCGTTCTTGGCAGCTTGCCTGTCAGTCTTCCTTGTGAAATTTGTGTGGAAGAAAAGCTTCTGCTGTTTGCTGCATGAGAAGAAGGAAACACTGGGAACATTTGAGGTCTGCTCTCACTTTCTGGGGTGTCGCTGCCCCGGGCCTCTGGTCTCTGCCCTCACATCGAGCCCAAGCCACTATGGAGACTTAACCCGTTGGGTCAGGGCTCCCCCACTGACTCTGTCCCTCCTTCCCCAGAATGGTGACTACAACAAGCCAATCCCTGCCCAGTACCTGGAGCACCTGAACCACGTGGTGAGCAGCGTGCCCAGCCCCCGCACCCCCTCGCAGCCGCAGCAATGGGTGAGCAGCCAGGTGCTGCTGTGCAGGAGGTGCAGCCACCATCAGACCACCAAGATCAAGCAGCTGGCCGCCTTCTCGCCTCGGGATGAGGTAGGGCAGGGGGCGAGGAGGGCTGGGGTGCTTCAGAGCAGCCTAGGGGAGGCATGCCCAGGGCTCTTCAGACAGTGCCCCTCCCCACCCTGACCCATGCTGGCCTCACATTCGGGTGCGTTCTGTCATCTCCTCTCAGCACACTTCTGTTCTCCCCCCGTCTCCTGGTTCCTGCTCTGTTGGCTCCAAGCCTGGGAACATCGTGGAAACCTAGTGCCTGCCAGTCCAGAGGGGTTTGTCCCTGGGCAGGGGCAGGTAGTTCCAGCTGGAGCCCTGTCAGATCCATCCTGCCTGTCCCTCTGAGTCAGGCTTGCCCACTGGCTTTCCAGGCACTTTGCTTTGGAGTTGGTGGAGGGGAGGGAACTGGGCGCTGCTGAGAGGCTGGCTGTTAGGAGTTCACCTCCCCCGGGCCTGCTGTGGAGCCCAGCAGCCTTGTCATCTAGCTAGTCCTGTCTTTCCACCCCCATACCGGTGGTCGTGACTCAGGAGCTGAGGCCCAGAGACGCTGGCTTTCCCAAGGCCCAGC